GTATTCATCACAGCCCAGACCTCGCAGGATTGCATTTGTGCACGCAGAGAAAGACGCTTGTCCTCTCAAGGATATGTTCTATGCACTCGCGTCACCGGCATGAGCCTGGTTTGTATGTGCACAGGTGTTGAGACTAAACTCCAGTCTCATCTCGTCTGTGCATAGACTTTGTATGTAATCTACTCGCGCGAATAATTGGCGCCGCGTTTGGTGTGAACGCACCATTAGACTAAAAACCTAGTTGGTATGCACAGAAAATGTCTATACCTGTTTTATTTATTACAATAGCTGTTTGTAACAAAGAAACGCAGCTTGCATGACTAATGATGCAGTCAAATTTATCCATATCAAATGACAAGTTGCTTTGTGTTCTGAAAGCCCCTAAACACCACCGCAATAAAAAAGTAGCCTGTTTCTAAATCTGCATGGGCACTACAGTGAATGCTTCTTCATTTGGACCTGCTACCACACAGCACTCACACTTGATCCCATTTAACACCAGCATGTGTTACTTTTTCCTCGGGGCAAAGTCAACCTGCATTCTGTACATCCCTGCCAGAAGCCAGGCATTAGAATGCAGCACAGATCACAGCTCTCCTGCCTTCAGGAGAGGCACTTAACCTGTGCTGACCCTCTCAAGCCTCAGCTAGATGAGGAGAGAGGCATCTGACAGGCCAATAAATCATAGCATTAATAACAGCATCAGTGTGGGACAACAAGCCAACACAAAGCTGTATTAGAGATGGATTTGACAAGCTGCTGAGGTCATTCAGAATGATGGAACTCTGTCCTCCTCGTGCTTATGAGACAGGATGTGAGCACTTTACTCTGTGTAGTAAATGTTTAAAATGACTTAATTATGTTTAGTTAAATACAACGTAAAGCTCCCATATTGTAGAAAGTGAGATTCCCATGTCTTTTTGAATTCAAAGCAGGTCTAGGAGCTACGTGTATCTATACTGTGAAAGTATCAAAATGCTCAATCCAGGAAGGAATGCACACAGCCTGTCGTCAAAAGCCGTCAAGACTTCATAAAGGTTGTGATGTCACGGTAGAAGTGCTGCTGGTTAACACTTGAGTCCCCGGCTGCAGTGACGCTGGGAAGGAGGTGACAGCACAGATGTGGAAGACTGGAAGACACTGACCAACCAGAGCAGACTGGGCTTTTTCGGTAGGGGCTTAAAGAGACAGGCGCTAAAACTGTTTCAAACAGACTATATTAGAAAAATAAAGTGTTTTTTAACATTAAAGCATGTAAGAATTTTTCAAGTAGAAACACAAAATAAAAAAGTATGAACCTGAAAATGAGTATGATAGGACAGATATGCAGGGGCATGTGGCATTTTATTTCCTAAATATCCTCCTCAATATGTGCTCTCGTCATTTTTGCATTTCCATGATGTGTGTGTGTAAAAGTCCATAAGAATGGCATTACAAGGAATGAATAATACATACTGGCAGGAGCGTGTTTGGTTGTCAGCAAGTATAAAACTAAATCATTGACATTAATAAAATTATTAATATCAATAAGATTGTTAACAAATGTTAATAATTCTCTTTATAAGTACACAAGCTTCACTTTGCTGTTTCCATTGAAGGTGATAAGCAAACCCAGAAATCTATGTCAAGGTTATAGCATCGTTAAAACAGTGTTTCATGTTAGTTTCTTGGCTACATGCACCAGATGAACAGTGAGGTCATCATCATGAGACGTGACTGCTAATTGAGTGTAGTAACAGATGTGTTGGAGGAAACAGCCCTGAGAGGAGTGTCTCTACAATCGAGTGATGGAGGTCATTTCCATGGTTCTGGGTAACAGTGTGAGCCAAAATGCTCGGGCTGAAGTGAATAAAGGGGAAACCAGTGTACTGTTGAATCCTGCTGTGTCCTTTGACCCCCCCCCCCCCCCCCCCCCCTCCCCCCCCCCCCCCCCCCCCCCATCATTAGCACTCAGTCACAGCCACATAAATAATTCATGCAGCATCTTAAATCAGCATCCCTCCTCTCCTCCACCCTCCATGTCTCCCCAGCCTCACTATCACTCTTCTCCTCCCTCCTCCGTGTCTCCCCAGCCTCATCATCACTCCTCTCCTCCACCATCCATGTCTCCCCAGCCTCACCATCCCTCCTCTCCTCCACGTCTCCCCAGCCTCAATATCACTCCTCTCCTCCCTCCTCTGTGTCTCCCCAGCCTCAC